ATTCTATTCACTGAGGTTTATGCCTAAAGTCAGACTTGGGTTCATGTATATATATGTATATCAGCTGCGCTTGCTATTGGAAATATTTAGACTAATTAAGTTCATAAGCAAACCAATTAAATGAGGGGAGGGGAAAGGCATAGAAAGCAAACATGGATACCAGAGACAATGTGGGAGGAGGGTGGGACATGGCAGAGGGTGAGGGATAGGGAATCAAAGATGGCAAAAAGAAAAAAAAAAAGGCAAAATATACAGGACATAAGAAATAGAAAATTATTTGTTGACAACATGTATGTTGATGTGCTTGATTGAACCAATATACAATTCATTTTGTATCTGTAAAGATGTATAGTGAATTAATGTAAAAAAAAATTAAAGAAAAGAAAAAAAAAACTTACTGGATTAAACATTCCCAAATTTGGCCACAGGGGGGAAAAAATAGCCTATCGTTGGTTGGTAATACATAACAATTTCTTCTTCAAAATTGGTTGGTAACATGTCACAATTTCCTCTTTACAATTTCTACAACAGTTTTACTGTAATATTCAGAAAAAATATTCCAGCACATTGTGACTAGCACGGATAGAGCCAGGAAAACAAATTCCAAGGAAACTGTCTATAGGAAACAGGTAGAAAAGAAAGCCAACTTGGAGAAAAAGAACACAAGGAGCTCATCTGTTGTTTCAGGTTGTCCGAAAAATAAACTGATGACTGAAAACCCACATCCTCCTAGGCCGTGTCCCAATTCACATAATCAACCCGTTAAGACAGTCAGTCTCAGGACAAGTCCTTAAGGTCTTGATTATTACATGATAAGAACACAGCCTCCTCCATGATTCAGAACACTAGTTATTTGACAATACATAGTTTCTACAGTGATGAAAAAGCTTCTGAAACAAAGTTTATCAGATATAGGGCTCAGCAAGAATTGCAGAATTAAGCAGAATTCTGTTCCTGGATCTGCTTATTCCTCTTTGCCCAGTCACCATCATATCACAAGAGACCTCTTTAGTACCACAGAAAGATCTTGAGTCTGACACCCCACAGCCATGAGTGGTTTGTGTGCAGCTCCCCCTGCAGCCCCAGGCACTGTGTCACCCAGAGCACAGAAGTACTCAGCCGTGTCAGTCCAGTGCACAGACGGTTTCCTCAGGTGGAAGGAAGAGTCACTCTTCTTAAATTCAGCCTCAAAGCCGTTGCTGCCTTTAACCAGGGAGTCTCCAGAATAGTACCTGAGGAGAAGCTGGAGTCCTTGGCCAGGGTACTGGACATACCAGAAGAGATAAGGAGCTGAACTACTGGAATAGGTGCATCTCAGCTCCAGTGAGGCTTTCTCAGAGACAGTGACATGACTGTCAGGCTGGGTCACAGACTGGGCTCTGGCATCTCCTGCAAAATCAACGTTCTATCAGAGAAAGCTGCCAGACATCACTATGAAAACCAAGCATCTCTAGTCAGAACCTGCAGAACTAGAAATAGAAACTGTAAAGAAATTTTACTCACTCAGGACAAAATGTATGCCCAGGACTGGGATGAGCACCAGGAGCATGGCTGAGTAGTAAAAACCTGCAGACTCTTTCCGGAAAGTTTCCAAGAATAGGAAAGAAGCTGGCTGCAGAAACCAAGACCTTGGAAATAGAAGATGGGCTGAAAGTGCAGCTGGACAATTCTTTGCTTAGATAAAAAATACATAAGCTGCTGAAACGAACCTGGGTGCTTTCTGGCCTCTGTTCTAGTCACTTGTCTATGACTGCCAGGAACTCAGCCAGTTGCAGGGAGGAGGAGCTACTGGTGCACACCTTCCATCAGGAACAAGACCTCTAGTTTGTGCACCATCGCCCTCTAGAGACCAAGCTCAGAACCAAAAATGCCGAAGCCATATGGAAATTAATTAAGTGTTGCTTCTATTTTATGAGATACTCAGAACAATCACACAATTTCTTTCTTCCCAAGTCTTTGACAGTCAATTAATCCTACGGTCCATTATGAATGGAATGCCTTGTAAAAATGAATTTTTCATTGAAAAACCTGTTTGAAAAAGTAGATCAGACCTCAGATCCAAGTTCATGAGTCTTTGGAATCAGGCCAGATGCCTCAGGCTGAGTTTATATGGCCCAGTGCTACCATGGCGTGGATGAGGGTGGTAGAAATACTTCCTTTGGCTGATGCTGTGCACCTTCAACAGTGAAAAGTAGGATCCAGAAAATGACAGTAGTGTTACAATGTCACTAGTGAAAAGTTGTGACTCTGGATGGGATGGCTTTGTCTCTAGGGCTGAAGGAAACATGCTACAGAAACTACTGGGGCCGAAGAAAATGCATTCATGCCAAAGAGCCATACTACATTTCATTGTTCTATTCATCAGCTGATGGCATTGGGTTGTTTTTACTTTGGGGGTATTTTGAGTAATATTGATATGGACATTTGTGTGTAACTTCTTGTGTGGACACAGGTTTTCATTTCTCTTTTGTATGTATCTAGGGGTAGAATTACTATTTTCCGCAGCAGCTACACCATTTTACATTCCCACTAACAATGCATAAAGATTTTAATTTATTCATGTTTGCCAACCTTTGTTTTACTATCTTTTAAGTTATCTATCTTAGTTAGTAGGTATGAAATTGTACATTATTGCAGTTTTGATTTGCATTTCCCTAAAAGTGGATGGGGGTGAGTATACCTTTTCATGGGCTTATTGGCCATTTGTATATCTTTTTTT